GCGGTCTGTGTGCCAAATAGATATAAGTTCGTACGACGTTAATTATTTTGTGCAACATTTTGGGTCAAGCTTTACGACTTTTTCAGGCTGATTTGCAAATTCGGTACAGTTACACAAAAAAGTTGCTAATACTAGAGACGAAACGAGTACGTAAGCGTAAAACTAGTGAAATGATGTACGTACGTACGTACGTACATATCTGATATGTATTTTGTTTCCCAAATACGTATTTTGCTGCTTTTTTTTTTTTTTTTTTTACAATTTGATAACGATTTTTCCTGTTGTATATGTATACATTATTCGGCAAAAATTTTTGAATAACGGTAATTTGGTTGAACAGTGCAAATGAACCCGTGCCACTTCACAAACGTGTCAGCCAATCATTTGCCCGGTTGAACAAATTACCGTTCAAAAATTTGCCAATACGTATTAATATCCGACAATTTATGATCATGATTGGTAGGGAGTTGTCAGCTGAGTTTAATTCGAGTAACGTGAATATTTCGTAGCACATGAAAAAAATAACAGACAGAAATGAGTGCCGCAAAGCTAAAACCAGTATTTGTGAATTTTCCTAAATCTATTTTATAGAAACACACATGATCCATTAAATAGAATTTATTATAGAATTTATTAAATTTATCAAGAATCTGATCACTGTTTCTGAAAAGCGGAGCCGGCAAAAACTGAAATTGCAGGTTTTAGCTTTTGCAGCACTCAAATACATACATGATCATAAGAGTTTGTCGGACTAAATAAAAGTACTATTTAAGATGTGTCACTAAATTGATTATTACTACACCTTACAATAAAGTATTCACCCTAGAGATGTTCCTATCATGCGATAAATCTAGCACATTACAAAATTTGAAAAAATTTGACTACTAAGATGTAAATATAGATTTTGAGTGAGATAATTCAACATTCCCCAAGTCATCATGCGTCATTTAATAAATTCCTTTGTCTAATGAGTGTGGGAAAATGGGTTAGCCCGTGGAAAGATGGGTTAGACGCGTTATCGATACAGATCAGGAGTTCAAAAAATTTTTTCGGGGTTTAACATTGATTGATTAATATATAATCTGGTAACTAAAATTTAATTTTGGGACCAAATAATTTGCATTACATTATACAAAACATAATGTCGCAACAAAAATTAATAAAATATTATATTTTATATCATATGTAATATGTAGCATCAGTTAGTGATTTCCTACGTACGTACCTGTATAAAGCAGGCTAACTAATACCATAAAATAGTAAACCTCTGTCTAGAGATAAGAAAGATTAGGTATGAATCTTGCTTCTTGATTTTTGTTGAACACCATAATTTCATAATGTTGCATGCGCATTATGCAATGCAGAGCCAAAAAAATATGCCTTTACACATCTCTAATTTAGTGACCAATTGCCCAATTAATTTCGCAAATGCGCCGTATAATGATATGATCCTCGAAAGATGAGATGATTTTAATGCAGGAGGAAATTGAATTTACATAGCATACTGCAGACAATGCATTATGGCGCATTTGTGTAATTTTAGTATTTGACTAGACTATGAAGTGAGTGCGTCAAAATACTATTTTTGTAAACTCGTACGTACGTACGTACGTATGAATAACATCTAACCCATCTTTTCACGAGAAGATTGGTTAGACTTTATCCGTATGATTTTACAATAAGAAATGTCAAAAAAAAAAAAAAAAGTAGATGACGCACTTCATAGTCTAGTCAAATACAAATGAAGTTTTGTGATAACTTGAATGGTCTAATTAACTATTTTTATCAAAAAAAAAAACATTTGAGTTTAATAAATCAATGTTTACTAAAACTTTCTTTACTTTGAGCGAGATATAGTATGGCATATATGATTAATTCGTGCGAGGATGATTTATCTGATTTAAAGAATTACGTTTTCTGCTAAAATTGACATAATTATAATTTATGAGTTTATCTAACCAAGATACTGTAACTTTATGAATACATTCTCGTAAAGAGTGTATTGGTGATACAGGCTGTCCCTGACCTCCGGCGAGCGTGTTAAAGGTCGACCTCTCATTTCACAAGCTGGCTCGATCAGTTTTTTACCAAAAATATAATTAGTGTTATCTAGCAATAATGAAATTTTAATATTGAAATAGTGAAAGCAAGTGTTAGATGATGGTTTTTCGAGTCCATTCCCCATTTTTGCCAGCCCCAGACCCACAAATTTTTTATCGGTCTGTATCACTAAAATATATTTATCATTTAATTATTCATTTTAAGCTATTCAACTCATAATTTTGTTAATTTTGTCCTATTCACTAGAGTTTTACAGTAGTGCACTGACCGGTATGTTTTTCTTTCAACATAATCATGGAATTTCATCATCGGACTCAAATATTTCATCATCAGATTCAAGTGATTCATTATTAGCATTAAACTTAGATGGTTTAACATTGTTTGCCTTAGATTGTTTAGGTAATCTGTTATCAGACTTGGGTGAATTTTTTTTAGAAAGACACAGATTTCCAACGAATCAAGATGAAAACAAACAAACCTGTTAAGCAATGAACTTTGATCGCTGAGAAGTTTTTCTACGCTGCAATTTTTCAAATAAACCTTAAATTCCAAAGTTTTCTTATTTTTACATTCAGAGTCAATATTTATACTTGCCACAGATGGACAGTAATATTAAAAAATTGGGATTTTTTGTCTTCAGTTTCGACTTTACTATCAAATGAAATTTTAATGACTCCATTATATTTTGCATTAACCTTGCCAACATCACCAACGTCATCATCATAATCACCGTCGCTGTCATGACCAATGCCATCATTACCATAGGATTGTCGATGTTTTTTTTTCATTTCCCTCCGGATTCTTGTAATTTTTGAAGAAGTACTAAGGACATTACTAACTTATCATTTCTATTAGATGTTTCATTCGTGATCGTTACAACCGTTATTTGTGTCTAAAGCCTCTACTATTTTAAATACAATATCAAATATATTATCACACAATTCAGAAAGATGTTTCATAACTGATAATTCAAGTTTAGCAACCCAACAAGTAATACATGGTGTGGAGTAATCAATCTGAAAGTCAGAACCCACAGCGTATGCGTTTTGCGAATATAATATACGATCGATATCATCTTTGCGTTCTTTAAGTTGTGAGAATAATTTTTCAGCTTCAGAGTAGTGTTGGCAGGCGAAACTCTGGCGAAACTGCGAAACCTCTGGTAAAATTGAAACCCCTGGAGAAAGTCAATACTCGGCGAAGATCAAGCCCTCTAAGACTTTAGAAAAGACTGAACCATGTTAGTAAATCAAAGTATTTTGCATGTTGCTATTAAGCACAGCATGCGGTTTATTTAAAAATGTACAAAAGCAATAAAATAAGTGATAATTTTGTTTGTATTCAAGTACTAACTATTAAAAAAAACTAGATTTCCGGCTTTTGGAACTTCGAAGTAAATAAATTCAGCCTTGAAAATTCAAAGCTTAAACTCTTGTTTTTTTTTAGTAGCGCTTATCTATGGATTAATTTTATTTATATAAAATAAACCTATTTAAATATTTAATTGGTCGTCCGCCTTAATTTAATAGTAAACTAGAGGATGCAGATGTGGGCGGCTTCGCCGCCCGGTTGGGGTTGTTACTAATAGATTTTGATATACTTAAAAT